CCGATTCTTGGTTCCCAATTTCTGTCCTCTCATCCTATCCATAAGAGGTATCTGAACTTTTTTATTTTAATTTTCATATCGTGGGCGACAGTGTTTTTCACTTTAGCGTTAGCAACGGAACTTTGTTTACCTACGGGTTTAGCGAAAATAGCGAAGATCGGTTTTTGCATATTCGAACACCTAACACAGGGTTCCCGAGTGTCGTTTTTTTTAAACGAATTCTATTCATAATTCATGGAACGTAATTTTTCATCGCTTTTAGGTTTTAATCGTTTTACCGTTCACGTTTTTATTTTAATATAATCAAAAATCAATAATAAAAGCAAGAAAACTCTTCTATTTTTGAGACCTTTGCAGATAGTCTGTCTTGATCATGGGTTTCAATTCGGTCTATAGAAGCTTGCAGGAGATATTTCCACAGGTATATCTCTTTACTCTTTTTAAAATTTTATCTTCTAAAAATGTTATTGCAGGCTAATCCATTATTATTTTCATTGAACTGTTATTATTTGTTGCTATGTGATCTCGTGTTGTGAAGTTGATTCGGAGTTCAAATATTAAATTAATCAAATAAAATGAAGGATTATCGATTGGACTCTCTAGTTGAGTATTATGTGCATGAACATGGATATTTTGGATTAATGGATATTGTTTCTATATTAATTACTACTTCCTCTGTGTTTGCTGTGGGGGATTGGTAATTGGTTGGTGGTTACATCACGAAACATGATCAGTAAAAATGTAGAAATTCTTTCCAACTGTTAAGAAATTCATACCTCGTGGTAGTTGCCATATGCTCCAGAATGAGCTTACTGATGCCAAGAATTATCTAAATTATCAATCTTTCTGAAATTTAGAGTACTTATAAAGATTTGTTAGTCTGGGAATGTGTCTGACTTGTTATTGATACCTCATCCAAACTGATGCATGTGTTTCATCATTTCTACTGAACAGGTTGATGCCCGGTTACTGAGGGCTGTTGCAATTGAACACCCAAAGGATGCTGATATAGCTGTTGGAATTGTTCTTGCAGAAGTCATCCCGTTCATATCCAAAAAATTACCTCCTGCAACTGTACAGGACAACAACCATGGAGCCCCACTAAATGTTGAAGGTGCAATTGCTTATTATGTACATTCATTTATATGTCACTGTACCTTGTTTGCATCGAACTGTTTACCAATATATTTCTGGTGGGATGTTGAATCTGTAGTTGAAAGCGAGGAGGAATGCAATAGGTTGAGGCACCATCAGCTTGTTGATGACATAGATGTGGGGCCTTCTTCTGCTCCACATTCTATATCTGTAGAAATTACCAAATCTGCTGATCAGTCTTTTGGACTGAATCTGAATGTGGCTCTGGACAAGTCTACATTGTCAAATGGCAGTAATTCAAATGAGGCTACTGATAAATTTATTGGAATGGATGATAAGGAGCTAAATGTTTTTCAGAATGCTGAAGATAACTTTGATGAAGAGACTTTAAACAAGATTGCTCAGGAGACGTCAAATGAATTTAGTCAGGAAGATAATGAAAATTTTGGTCAGAGACAACTTCAAGCTGATGTTGATTGTGAAAATTTGACTTCTTCTGGTATATGTCCAGAGATGGAAAATGGGCATAATTACCTTAGCAAGGAGGCTGCTGCCACTAATAACAATGGCAATATAATTGGAAACCATTTAACCGAAGAGTGGGTAGAGTTTGTAGTTCCTTCAGCTGATGATTACGATGCCACTACAAGTCACAGAATGGAAGAATGCCAAATAAACTTCTTTGGGGTGGAAATTTCTGGGGATCAAGAAGTTTGTCATGTTCAAGAGAATACACTAAATTCTAAAGATAGTGTTCAATCAGAATTGGATGCTGCTTCTTCTAGTGCTGGTGGTAAAACAAGTGATGTTGAATATGATATCGGTGGGAAGAATGCAGTTAGCCAATATAGTCAAGTATGCAGGATTGATCAGCTTGAGGAAATCATTGATGAGGCAAAAACTAACAAGGTATTATTAATCCTAGATTCTTATATTTGGATATTAGGAATACTAGCTTTATTACCATATATCATATCTGGAAGAAGTTGTGAAAGTAGCATTAAAATTATTGTTGCTATATTGAATGATGACTTGACATCTTATCAATGATTGAACAATAGAGTAGATAGCATAGCAATGTATATGTCTTTCTAATATAGAATGATATACTTAAAGTTTAGTGGCTGAAATCTGCTAGGACTTTAATACTTCTGATATCTTAAGATTATTTGACACTGATGCAGAGAACCTTGTTTTCATCAATGGAATCTCTTATCAACTTAATGAGAGAAGTGGAACTTCAGGAGAAAGCTGCAGAGCAGGCCAATATGGAGGCTGCTACAGGAGGGTCTAATATTCTGGCCAGGATAGAAGAGTATAAAACAATGCTGGTGCAAGCTAAAGAAGCAAATGACATGGTTGTATATATTAGAAAAAAATTATAGATCTAAAAACTTACAAAATCTTTGGAATTAGTGTTTTGTATATGATGAACAGAAAGTATTTATTCTCAATATTTTCTTGCAGCATGCAGGAGAAGTTTATGGAGAAAAAGCAATTCTTGCGACTGAACTGAAGGAACTTCAATCACGCTTGCTCAGCTTGTCTGATGAAAGGGATAAATCTCTTGCAATTCTTGATGAGGTGCTTCAAAATTTAGTTTGTTCTTTAGAAATTTAATCATCATGCCTTTGCTGCACATATTTCTGCATTTCAGAATACCTGGAACATCTTCCTACTATTGTAATAATTAGAATCATCTCTGTTATGATTTAAGAGCTAAGGAAGGCATGTGATTTAAAAATATTGGTTATGAATCAAAAACTTATTCCACTGTGCAATCGAATTGCCTAACTTGATAGCAAAAAAAATAAAATTACCAGCATTTTATTTGGTTCACCTGTTGGTTCTGGCTTCCAGATGCGCCAAATTCTTGAAGCTAGACTAGCTGCAGCAGAAGATTTGAGGAAAGCAGCTGAGCATGAAAAGCTGGAAAAGGAAGAATTATCAAGACAGGCTCTTGTTGAACAGGAAGCACTGGTGGAGAAGGTACTACATGAATCTGGAAGACTACAGCAGGAGGCAGAAGAGAATTCAAAGGTTTCTGGTTTTTCTCCTACTTCTAAACCATTTCATTATTCTACATGTAATATTTTGGACAAAGCTTCTCTAAAGTGAACAAAGGTTTAATTTACTTTAAATTAAATTTATGAATGATACACCCAAATTTACTTTAGAGGCAAACTCAATTTAGAGATTTTTTTTTTGAATATTTTATGATTTTTATTTCCTTTGCATCTCTGCAGTTGCGGGAATTTTTGATGGATCGCGGGCGCGTTGTTGATATGTTGCAGTAAGTTGTTTTTCTGTTTAAAATATATAGTTGCACTTTTCTGCCTGTTTCCTGTATATTGGTTTTTTTAATCAAATTCTCTTTGCTGTTAATTATTAATTTTTGTGAAACTTATTTTTGGTTCAGATTATTATAGGAATGTTTGTCAATTTTTTTAATGTAAGATTAATCTTGATTATGACCATGAAGTTGCATCTTTATATGGTCATTTTATCATACTGTAAGCCATTTTGTTTGCATCATTTCCCTGAAATTGTTCTTTCAGTATAACAGTGTTTGATTTCTCAGCGGTGGGTATCTGACACACTTCCCAATTCCCATGCGAAACTAAAAGGAATAGCTTCTGCATATTGTTTAGATTTTAATGTGATTTTTTATATCCACGTGTGTATTGAACGGTACACCAAACATACACTTACTATGACTTCAAGATTCTTTCTTTTCTTCCCTCAACAAGCGTATCTGTGTACTATGTTATGAATTATGGCTTTTTGTTGTGAAATTTTTACACTTCTTATAATATATTTACTTTCAATTTAACTTTGCAGAGGAGAAATATCTGTTATTTGTCAGGATATTAGGCTTCTTAAAGAGAAATTTGATGCAAATCTTCCGTTGAGTAAATCTTTCACCTCAAGCCAGACTACTTGCAAGTTAGCTTCATCAGGTTCGTCCCACAAAAGCTTGGCATCCTCGATTGCAAGTGATTCATCTGAGATCGGGAAGGCAAGCCGGACAGCCTCGATTGAAAGCCTTCATTCCAAAAGTGGACACGCTGAGGAAAAATCCAAAGCTGATCAGAATGCCCTTGATGATGGATGGGATATTTTTGAGAAAGATGCAGAGCTGAATTCCGGATATTACTGACTTTTTGTTTTGCTGAGAGGGGGAAAAAACATAGGATTTGGTACTATTGTGTATACAACAAAATAAACCTTAGAATCCTTGGATGTCACTGATTAGTTGCGAGCTAGTTATGTTTTGCTTTATGTTTCAGTAGAATACTAGCATTTAATGCACAACTTTTGTATACGTCCTCTCGAGGTCGGGTTCTCGTTGTTTTCCAGATTTTGTATAGAAAACGTAATGGGCATGACTTCAGTTCTTTCCATGTGTGATGGTTATCTCTATCTTCATTTAATTACTAACAGTGCTTTACCCGGGAACGACATGAAGGGGTCCTGGGTGTCACAGTGAGCTGCTAAGCTGTAAGATCCAATCAAAAAATTTGGTTTATGTGAATGAACGGTCTAGGATAATTGGGGACCCAAGTGAACCTACAAAACGTGGTAAACCAAATAAACATGCGAGTTGTCCTTGTGAAATTTGCAGCTTTTTTCGTGGGAAATAGAAGCCCAAGTGAAAAAGAAGTCGCATAAAATTATAAGAGATCCAATTGATTTAGTACACGAATAAATGTGGCACTAAAACCTCTAGAAATACTCTCAAAATGCAACAGATATAAATTTAGTATGCTTCTTCTACACGTTGGTATTAAATAAACGGCTTATCAAATTGGAACAAATTTCTGAGCAAAAATAGTAATCTAGAGGTTGTAGTATATAAAAGGGAAAGTAAATTACAAAATTGACCGTTTTACTCAATAGAAATGTAGTTACTTATCTATTTGTTTTGTATTATAATCAAAATCAGTATTAGTTGGCAAGACAGTCATGCACTGCGTTTGGTAAAGAAGAAAAAAGTGAAAAGAAATGTGAAGGGCTGAGAAATAAGTAAAAAATAAAAGTTGTTTGAAAGAGAAATAGAAGAAAAGTAAAGTGGAGGTTAATTTTTGAAAATAATTTTATTTAAAATAATAAATAAATTTATTATTATAAAAAATTATTATTATTTATTATTGTTATTCTAAAATATATTTTTTATTATAAAGATTATTATTATAAAATTTATTTTATTTATATTTATAATTAATAAATTACGTTATGTTTTCAAAAAATATTAAATATAATTTCTAATTAATTGATAATATAAAACTTAC